TAAACTAGATTGTGTGCCATTTAAATTGAAGTTCAAGTTCAAACTAAAAAGGTACAATAGGACAAACAGGAATTAATCAACTACGTTCATATGACAATATAACCATCAGATCGGACAACTTCACAAGGAAGAGATATAGAAACCCGACATAAATCAAAGATAAACTAGTACAACCTCATAGGCACTTTTAGCATTTCAATAAAACTTCATCGCATCAGAACCATAAAGTCTTCAAATCATTTAAAATGAAAATTAGATGTTTTATCAAAGATGGACTCTAATCATATCAGAAGTAGTGTTTACAGCACATTAAATTCATCTCCCACAGATTTTAACATCTATTAACACTAATTACACAGATTACTAAGAATTAAACATAATTTAGCAACAGTTGGTGTGACATCAGTCTAACAATCATTTGCAGTATGTGCAAATCAGATTCTTTTATGGTAACAATACAGATTTACTAGATTCGGGAAAAATATAATTAAGAATGGACCAAAACATACGGGAATTTTATAAGATAGGAAAACATAGTAAGTTATAACCGTTTGCATATAGCCTTCGTGGGTATTCAAGGATAAGCTTATCAATCTCCGTTGGTATATGAGTCCCTTTAATGAATGTCTTTATATCACCTTCATTCAGAAGGCGATTATTTTTTAAATAGTTATTCGAAGAATTCAAGATTTGTTCTTTGCCCAATCTGTAAATCAGAAATAAGTCACTTCAGTCCTGCGTATCAACAACACAAAAGATATAAATCTTTGCCAATTAATGCACGATAGCAATACCAGTAACTAACAAAAGTTATTTATCATTACGTACATGATTAAAACATCGAAATCTTTAACGCAACAATTTTCGCCAGCACATATGTGTACCCCAGCTGAAAACTGCGAAACGGGACAAAACATGCTTCAGATCCTGTTAGAAAATAATCAAAAACTTAAGGGGATTGTAGACAGTACAAACCATTTATTAGTCAGTTTGAAAAGTATTAGTCATAGTTACTAAACGCACACTAAAAGGAAGTGTTAATGCAAAAACGTGAGAGGGTCGCCGTACCTATAAAGTTTTATGAAATCACTCAGTAATACCGGCCTGTAACCTATTCTACATAAACACTATCAGATATGATTCAGATGACCTAGTAGATGAGAGACAACCTAACTATTCTCATATATATATATATAATCTTTTTACCAAGCGATTCTCTTATGTAAACTTACACAAAAATTGAAAAGTATGTGAGGAGCACTATTAAAATGGCTATGCTGAAAGCCTTAGCGTTAGTCCTGAAAACTCGTAGACTGAAATTAATAGTAAGATGCAACAAACCCAACAAAATTAATTTTTGAGAAGAAATAATATCACATTTTACTAAGTAAAACTATTCGTCAGATCCATCAACAAACGGCACTTAAATCAGTCAATAATTTCTGGAATTTTTAAATATTTATCAAAACTGTTTTTTACTCAACATCATATTGTATTTTCAGTTCACTTACAGATACAACACCAAAGATAAGAAGAGAAAACCCATCAAGTTAAAAAAGCATTTTGGCAGATTTAGAAATTAAAAATCTTAATCAGTGATCAATCTCGATCGCATACTCATTATTTATAGATGTATATTAGAATCATCCAACTAACAACCATACATGAACCACCCATATATTACTTTCAAAAATTTCCTTAGACACCAGTAAACAAATTACAGTAGTGGGTATTCTAATCAAGAATATAATCAATAATTAATGTAGAAATATGCTTCACACCACATGTACAGCGAACATTTATTTTTTAATACCAATATATTTTACATTAATAACATTACTTTCCATTTTTATAGTAAAATAAAAATTTTCCTCGATTTTCTTCTTCATTACCTCAGATATCTGCTTGTTCTGCCGAGCTTATTTATATTTTGTGACCGAGTTCGATACAGTCAACGATTAAATGTAGCTTATTCATTAGGAAAGAGATGATAGGCTGGATTAGAGCCTGAAATCAACAATTCTTTCAGAACTATGAATTGAGTTAGGTTGGAATCCGAAATTCTCTTACAAAGCAATTATAGTACTCACGATTGTTTACTTTATTATGTCGGTTAAATTGTAGGAGCCATATCCTGTACCATTAAATGTTATTAGAGGGGAAACTTATATTGACCCAACGTCTATCGATTTACGAGACAAATGTATATAGTAGGAAAATATCTCAGCATTCAGAACACATTTAACACGACATTAACAGTTATACATATTTCGGAATAGAATAAACATTAATGTAACTAACACATCCTAAATGAAGTGAATTCTGAGGTCAAAGTACCAAGGGAACTATAATGGTAAATAACCTTATAGCAAGACTAAATCTAGGGATAAGTAATATTGAGTCTGTTTCAACTTAGTAAGAGCAGTGAGAACACTACTCTTTAGGTACAAAGAATCATAAAAGAGTAGTTACACGTCGTCGCTTAGCTGGGATCATTTGACGAACTTCGAGTACCACATCAGTTTCCGGAAGAAAAAACTGAGTAAACAATCACAATGAGTATAAATTATTGGAACCCCTGGCGTGTTTTTACGGAGTTGTAAAGGTTATACACAGCTTTCTGCGAAACAAAAAAGTTGCTCACTATGTTAACTAAGAAAAGCAAACCTTAGGAGTTTACGAAGTTAATTTTTGGTGTAGCATCACCGTAACAAAGTTCGGTAAACGTTCAGTAACAGGCATGCTACATTGATTTGATTGCACCTCATGTTACTAATTATCTGGCAAGGAATGAACGAAACATAGTGGACACGAATGAAGCGTAATCACCAGGTTCTAACTTTACTAGGTGATAAGTGACCAATAAATAGACTTATTTAACAATCGCTTAAGTTTTCTTAATGGCCAAAATCACATGATATTTTTAAATAACAGAATAGCTGCCCTTGAATTTAAAAGACAATGAAGGTATTCTAATTCGCATGTTAGAAAACTTAGCATGACAAGGACAATGAAGTACAAAAAAAACTAGATAATCGACATAGTAAAACAGACTTATTTTTATTTCAAAGACTAGACTTAGTTTATTAATTCAGATTCTGTTTCTGAGGTGAGTTGGAATGACTATAATGTACCTGTATTGTAATAAAGAGTTACTGCCACATGTCAAGCCAGTGTTCAATACACACAAATAGCTACCCGTACAATTGTACTAACAAAACTATGGTATAATTGAATCCTATTTACAAAATACTTTTTTCATGTATTATGATTGGATTTCTGAAAACTAGGAGTCAAGTGTGTATAGAAAGACCTTAGAAATACAAATATCCGGTTGTATCAGAAAGCATAAATCTGTCCATACTTTTCTTCTTTGAAGCTAGTAGACCGACGTTAATATCCGTTTGGAATTCCACTAATGTCAAGCAGCAAAGAAAAGTATAAGTTACGAATTTATATACTCAATCCTGAGACAAAAACTTGAAAAAGGTACTTAAGGTTTAAAATAACCACGCCTCCTAACAATGTGTTAAGTAATGACTGCCTAATACCTTGTTAATTTGCAAACCAAAAGATATCAAAGAAATTGAAAAAATCGTCCTTGTGATCAACGGGGTAAACCGTATACACACCCTGAACCTACATCAGATATATCATTTTGAGATTACTTGTGTGATAGGGGAGTTGTAATTATTGTTAGTTCATCTGTAGCTGAATTCGAGAAATTCGTCAAGTTGAAAGAAAAAGTTTTTACGGATCAGTTGTGTGCATTTCACAATACTAAGGGAGTGAAAAGCAACTTTAAGGGTTTCCATTCATTGGCATCAAACCTTAATGTTTAAGTAAACAAAAAATAAATCCATTGGGATTGTGATGAGGCGTAACTTATCATTCGTCCGTGTGTGGAGGTTTTAGAAGTTTTCTAGAGGGCTTTAAGCAACCTTCCAGTATGAGGTTTGGCTAGGCCCTAACCTCGACCTGAAACTTTTTTGAACTTCATAATAATGCACTTTTATCCTCACGTTTAACTCAGTTATACACAGCAGTATTTCATTCCCATGGTCGTGCTTCTACTGAGGAACATGGCACATAATGAACAAAAAGTTTGGTATGTAAATATTTAGTGAGGCCTATTCATATGTTCCAGCATGTGATTAGAGTGAACGGCGTATTGTGACTGCCTATAAAATGTTTTCGTCATTACAAGTAAAGTAGGGTGGAATAAAGATAGAGACGGCCAAACCGAAACATAGCATCAGTTCATGGGGTCACTGACGACTGGACTGAGTTATGTTAGTAAGTGTAGACTACCTGGTTTAGATCCGCGTGATTACTGTAACTAATGGCTGGAGACTATGGGTGATATGGCTCAGAACCGATCACAATGGCGTAGGTGTATACACTCTTTGTCTATCCTTAAACCGTGAGACTAAAATTGCTTTATACCTTTATTGCTAGGAGCTAATTCTTTCTTCCTATACTATTATCCTTATACACAATCTTTCTTTCATATATTACTAGCATTGAAGGAACTACTTCTACTAATTTGGTGTTCGTCTTATTGTGCTTATGAGATGTAGCAACTTCGACCGATGCATATATGCGTCTGGTCTTACGTTGCAGCTGACTGACTGGGAACTTTGAACAGAATGATTCAAGACGGCAAAGATGTCCCTATTCTTCGTCTTGCCCCAAATTCTGAGATTTTGAAACTCTCATAACTTTTTTGAGTACAGTTCACTAATTTATATAATCTCGAAATGTATCTTTGATGCCTAATCTTTTCTATCACCACTGATACTGTCACTACTTCTACTGCTCTGATATTCGACCTGACAACTTCATTTCCTTGTGCTAATGAAGTATGGCAACCTGAACCGATGTGGATAAGTACCGGATTCTACTTTGCGACTGAGTGACCAACTAATTCAAAATCGCGATATTAGAACAAAACACAAAATTATTTGAATACTTTCGTACATAAGGCAAATAATTTTCAATTACAGCTTTTTCTTTTTTTCTCTTCGATGTTTTGGGTTTTTGAACTTCGATGGTTTGTGTTCTGAGGTAAAAATAAAAAATAAAGCCCTTTAGTAATACACGATTTTAATAAATTGAAGATATTTTCGAGTTATAAATACTTTTAGTTGTAAAAACTCGATAACAAGCCCAAAAATCTTGAATTTATTAAACAATAGTATCCCATATTTTTCAAATGGCCTTAGTAACAGCTAAAATCGGGAGAAGAGCACCATTCTTATCAAAGCAACTTTAAATGCACACATGTTTGTAGCTCTTGAAAAGCACATTCAACTCTGCTTTTAAATGTCATGTAACTCAGTGACCAGGCAAAGATTCATGTGCCAACCATACTTATGTAATAAGAGCTAGTGATGATACCCTTAGTGTAAACAGACTGAGAGTTCATTTAGGCAGCTCCATCGAGGCTGTTGAAAGAACAAATGAACTACTCTAACCCATGAGACCGAAAACAGTTTGGTCATCGCATAACTTGGAGGTTGATATTTGAACTTATGTTATTGGGGATGCGGTGTCACGAAGAACTCTCAAGCTATTCCACACTTTCTAGTTTGAATCCGTGAAGATACTTTCGAATGTATTAAAATCATGGTTAATTTTTATTACATACAAAATTGTTATACTGTTATAACCTGTCATCGTTTTACAGTTAGTTTATTTAGTTTATATTTATAATCACAAACCTGGTAATAACAGGAGAATTATATTTACTACAAAAAGTAACATCACAGCCAAGTTATAAACGAAAGGTGTACTAATTACAACTTGGAGTAAAATTACTACTTGTCTCAATTACATGAAAGAGAGGTCGATACATGATAGCCGCTAACTTTTCTAGTTACTGAATCGTATGATTATTTAGACTGTGGTGTACTAACGGATGCTGATATGGTAAAAAGTGTATTTCATCATATGGGATAAAATTACAGAGTTCCTCTTCCAAAAAAAGACAGAAATAAAATGAAAACATTGGATTATTCACATTACTTTAGCTTAAATGCTTGGCAAATCAGTGTATAGCATGTTGGAGCAAACTATCTACAAGATTTACCTTCAAATCTTTTGAAACGGATACTTGTTTTGGATGCCCGGCCTTCGAATGATTGCGAATATTCACAAACAGAGTTGTCTCGATTGGACAAACGAGAATCGGGTAAGTTATTAACCAGAGATTGAGGAATGGCGTCGGCGTTAGTAGGAGAATTAAAACCGCCGAAACTTTCTCGAAACCCAGGTGATACATTGTAGAGCTTAAAAATACTTTTAACAAACTGATAACGATATTTCGACTTAAGGATGGTAGCTCTTTTGTTGATATGCTTTTCTACAGAAGAAGGGAGTTTAAATCCATACTCTTGTGAATTAGGAAGGATGTCTGGGGCACTTTGATTAGTAGCCTTCTCCTTGGCTACGAGAGTTCGTCGCATAAAATTCATTTGGAGTAAATTCTTCGATATACCAAGCTCACTAACATCTAAGTTAGCCATCGTCAACTACACATAAAGCAACAAATGGAGGACTAGGTAAGTAGATTTCAGATAATTTATGTTGAATATACTACAGCTATATTGAAAAAGTTTGATTGTGTCAATTAAGTACCTATCATTTAACCACAAAAACGACTGACCGCAATCTACTATGTGGCCATGAATTAATAGTCTTTTCGTAGAATACCTACCCACTGGTTCCTTAGAGCAAGGGTGTCCCCAAAAGAGATGAGCAAGATCATTCTAGCGTCAGATAACTGCATTTCATAGACCTATGGTATGAATGGATTGCAATATAATGTCTCGTCCTTATCATTCTGAGTTGTCTGGATGCCTATCCCAATAAAGTACTCATGATTAGGAAAGACGGCTTATCTTGGAAGTACTGAAACAAGTGAAGAGGGATATAATTACTGTTAATCAAAATACACACAACCTCATAACTTCATTGGACAACTTGTAAGCCGTAGATTAAAGTAACAGCTAAGTGGACCTGTCGCGAAAAATAACCATGCAAAGGTAACCGCCAACAAATGTATGCTAGCTCTTTTGCTCGATACCAGCTAGTTGCGACTTTCCCCCCAAGATATTGTAGTATAAGCGGTATTGATATATCTTTGCAAGAGAGTATAGTATGCATGCCCCCATTAAACTACATCTTAGAAACATATACAAGATTCCCTCAGACCTCAGATATAATCCCAAGGAATATTTGGGAAACTGCAATTACCGAAACCTACTAGATGGCAGGTAGATTGAAGGAATAAGAATTAATCGGAAGAAAACAGTTCCTACAGACACATTGCATTCGCACTTGATAACGAAAGCAATCAACAAAAATAGATAATAAAAAACGTGAGGTTAAGACAATCTGATAATCGGGACCAGAATCTGATATAATGAGGTTTCGAATAGGAACAGGATAAAAAAAAAGCAACGAATGAGACGTTTCGCGCACTATTTAAAAAGGACAGTGGTATTTTTCCTCGCTGAGTAAATTTTTTTGTTTGATCGTTTATTACGTATCAAGACTACTGTTTTCACTTTAATTGAATTTATTTCAGTTAAAGTATTCGACTAGAGTATCGTTTTTACTGTTCTCTCAATTAGTTTTGTCGTTGGTACTCTTGAGTACCTCTTTTTCAACTGTATCTGTTAGTACTTTTGGTCCTAGCAATCTACAGCTCTTCACTTTTTGGTCATTGATTATTTTTTTGTTTCTGAGTATCATCGCATATTGAAAAAACCCCTCCTAAATGACCGGACAGTGTAAAAAAAGCAGTTGCCAACGTCCGGGTTGTCGTTATCCTGTTGAAAGCGGCATGCAGTGCGACGAGTGCAAAGGCTGGTACCACGAAGTTTGCACGAACTTAACGCCTGCTGCTTTCAAACGGTTCAGTAAGAAGGGTTGTGTATGGCTTTGTCAACAGTGCTGCTCGGATGCAAACAGCTTGTTAACCGAGGCCATCTCACTGGTTGATGCTGCAAAGAAGTGTTTTAGCAAGCATAGTCGGAACGCGTCAAACAGCACTCGATCTGTCGACACGCAAATCAACGTGAAGGAAACTAAGGTTAGTCCGATGATAGATGACTCACGCCCGTCAAAGAAGGAAAAGCAGTCTCCAAAGGGGCCTGCCTTAAACAAAAGCTCAAGAAAAGTAGGGTCTTCTGTTCCCCGTCTCCCAGATGGGATCCAACAGGAAACACCTAGAAGCCGCAATCGCAAGGCTCGATCGGTTTCAAGCGGTAAACATAACCGACCCTTCAGGTCGTCGACAACCCCCAAAACCCAACACTAGGTTTGACGCAACTGTTATTGCTTCTACCAGCACCGTTGACGAATGGGTAAAGGTTGTAAGGAAGAAAAGTAGGGATATAAAAGGGAAACCTGCCCCCGTAAAAGTAGTTGAAAAATCGAAAGCTGATCATAGCGACAGATCAGCTATTTTTCATAGAATCAAGGAGAGCGAGAGCTCTGAACCTAAAGCTCGTTTTGAGCATGACATTGTACTGATTAGGCAGCTGCTTAATCAACTCATGCCTCAAAATATGACCGGGGTCACCTTGCTAAAGGTGTACAGACTAGGGAGTCTAACGGACTCGAAACCAAATCATTCCAGACTGCTTAAAGTAGTATTCGGCTCTTCGAACGAACGTGACCTAATTTTACAAAATGGACACAAATTAAAGGGTTCAGGAGTCTTTATCCGAAAGGACCTACCGTTGGCAGACCGTGTTAAAAGACGGGAAGCCGAGAAAGAACTACAACATAGGTTAGACGCTGGCGAAAAGGACCTGAAAATTGTAAATTTTCGGGTTGTAAGACTTCGACAGAGAATGATGCCGAAGCCACTCTGGGTGAAGCACGAAGGCACTTAAACAGGCTTCGGATCTGTTACACCAATGCACGAAGCTTACTTAATAAGCGATCGGAACTAGGTGTACAGATTGACTCTACAAAGCCAGATATAATCGCAGTAACAGAAACCTGGCTGACACAGGCTATAGATAGTATAGAACTTGATTTCGAGGGCTTTACGTTAGTAAGGGCCGACAGAACACAAAAGCGCAAAGGAGGGGGAGTAGCTCTATTCATTAGGAATGCTATCCCATTTGCCATTATCGATAGTGTATCCCATGAGAGTGGGACGTGTGAATTAGTTAGTCTTCGCTTAAAATGCAAGGGACAAGAGCTGCTGATTGGTTTGGTCTATCGCAGTCCAAGCTGTGAGGCAAATGAGATCCTGTTAAGCAGTCTCAATACTTGGTCCCAAAGTGGTCGATGTCTAATCCTAGGGGACTTTAATGCACCTATGGTAGACTGGGAAAATCTGCGAACTAAATCGTCGGAGAATTCTTTCGAGCAGGAACTAGTTGATGCGGTTATCACATGTGCTCTAGTGCAACATGTGAAAGAAGCGACAAGGTACGATCCGGACACTGAATCATCCTTATTAGATCTTATACTGACTCACTATGAGGATGATGTTGCGAACCTCCATCATATGCCACCCTTAGGTAAAAGTGACCACGCAGTTTTAACTTTCGACTTCCATATAACTGCCAGTCATGAGGACGCGTCAGTCCAGTCCAGACCCAACGTCTGGAAAGCAAACATACCAGACATCATGCACTCAGCATCGTTAATAGATTGGACAATAGACCCAGAGTCCTCCATTGAAACGGCCTGGGACGCATTTCGAAATTCATACTTAAAAGTTACCACACCTCACATCCCTTGGACTATACCAAAGGGGCCGAAAAACTCACCACCATGGTTCAGTAGGGAGGTCCGTATCCTTCTCCGTAAGAAAAGGAAAATGTGGGATAGATTTAGGTTACTGGGGACTGATGAGTCAAAATCTCAGTATCGAAAGGCTCGGAACACTTGTGCCTCGACCCTCCGTAAGTCTAGAAAATTGTACGAAGAAAAACTTGTTAAGGAATCCATAGAATGTCCTAAACGCTTGTATTCCTATATAAACCAAAGGACAAGGAGAAAAGGAAATATTCCTGCTCTATGGGGAGACAGTACTGCTTCATCATTAGTGGAGGACGACTTTGGTAAGGCTCAAGCGTTCTCGAACTACTTTAGCAACGTATATACCATAGAAGCGCCCTTCTCGTCAGCGTATACAGATCCCCCCATACATACACTGGATAGCGTGACCATTAAAGAACTCGATGTCTTTGGTCTGCTAAATAAGCTTGACATAGGTAAATCCACGGGGCCCGATGAATTACATCCTAGGCTACTGAAGGAATTATCTAACTTCGTTGCAAGCCCTTTAAGTACATGCTTTAACCTATCCGTTACGCAGGGTCGCTTACCGAAAGATTGGAAAAACGCCATAGTAAGTCCTGTCTTCAAAACAGGTACGAAACACAAACCTGAGAACTACCGCCCCGTTAGCCTAACTAGTGTGGTTGTTAAAATCTTAGAAAAGATTATTCGGAAGGAGCTGTTTAAGTATCTCGATAAAAACCGGATCCTCTCGGAGAAGCAGCACGGCTTCAGAATAGGTTATTCTTGTCTCACTAACTTATTAGTGGCTCGTGAAAGCTGGTGCGCTCTTAAGGACCAAAAGCTACCTGTAGACGTCGCCTTCATTGATTTCAGTAAAGCTTTTGATAAAGTTCCGCACAACCGGCTGTTATATAAGTTAAGAAAAGTCGGGATTGGAGGCAATTTATTGATGTGGATAAAAGACTTCTTAGTTGGGCGTCAACAAAGAGTAAGGGTGAACTCAAAGTTATCTAGCTGGGAAACTGTGCTTAGTGGAGTGCCCCAGGGTACAGTTTTGGGGCCAGTGCTATTCCTCTTGTATGTAAATGACCTTCCTTGTCTCCTATCATCATCGGTCTTGCTATATGCTGACGATGTCAAGATATGGAAAACGATACGATGTAAGAGTGATAGCTTAGAACTTCAAAATGACCTGAAGAAGTTATCTGAATGGTCTCAAACATGGCAGTTGCCGATAAATACTTCCAAGTGTGTTGTGATGCATATCGGTCATCAAGGCACAGATACATACACGATGAATAACACTGAGCTACCTGTCGTCCAGACATATAATGACTTAGGAGTTATCGTTAGTCAAGACTTAAAGACTACTGCACACTGCCGTGCAATAGCCGCCAAAGGTTTTAGAACGTTATGGTCAATACGTAGGGCTTTTAGTCATGTCGACGCTAAAACGTTTTTGACTTTGTATACAGTGTTCGTTCGTCCTAAACTTGAGTACTGCATACAAGCGGCTAGCCCCTGCTTAAAAAAGACAGTGAGCTTCTGGAAAAGGTTCAGAGAACGGCGACTAAGCTGGTTCCCGGAATAGCGAAGCTTCCGTATGAATCTCGACTGGCCAAGCTGAACCTTTTCCCGTTGTCATATCGCAGAACTAGAGGCGACTTGATTACAGTCTACAAATTGCTTAGTGATAAATTTGCACCTAATATGCCCTCATTTTTCTTGTCTTCCAAAACAGAGAATTTACGAG